GCAATGCATCCAAGCATTATACACACCACAAGAGAGAAAGAAGAGAGGGTGAGGAGAGAGTAATCCCATAAAATTGGGAGGTATTTGTGAGATAGTAAGTGAGGTGTTTTCTCCTAATAATAGAGAGATTTTTGTTGTTCTCCTATTATTAGAGAGAAGTTGTATTCCCACATTACTTAGTAAAATTCTTCTATACTTGCCTGTGGACGTAGCCAAATTGGGTGAACCACGTAAATTCTTGTGTGCCGTTTCTCATTTTAACTTATCCCTTACCTTTTGTCTTGTCGGGTTTGCATGCCAGCATCCTAACAAATATGAGTTTGAACAGAAGGCAAGAATTTGTTCCTGGCCCGTTCTCTTTAAAATTTCTAGCTGTACAGCATTTGGAGTTTCACAAGGAAAAAGATTCTTATTAAAGCAAATCACAAGGCAAGTTCGAGAATTGATTCCTTCCATAGACAAGAATCTTACTCCATTCTCTTTATTTTATGCTTTCCCTGCTGCGAGCATTCGAACGTGGTGCTGCAAAACATCTGATGCAGTTCATGAGCGCGTCGTATAATTCAAGAAACAAGGAAGTCACCCCCTTCCCACATGAGAGAGGATCTAAAAACATTTCCCCTTCAATAAAGAGCTGAAAGGGTATGGTAGAAATTATTCAAGAAACTAGTAATGCCAAACAATCCAAACTGACAGAAGAAAAACAGAAGGCAACCTCGGAAAATTAAAAAAAAAAAAAAAAAAAAACGGAAAGGCGGCAATGAAGATCAGCGGGAAAGGTAGCTATAGTTGGGCTGGGCCAAAAAGTTCAAAGTGAAGCGTGAGGTCCGGTAAGGAAGGCGAGGCCCGCCCTAGCACGAAATTAATTGGGAATTTAATTTTGTTTTATTTTAGGGCAACCTTAACATTAGGCCCTCAACTATGATTTTAAGTATAATATGATCCTCAAACTAAACTTTATTTCACATGGATCTCCAAATAATCACGAAACTTTCAATTACATCTACAGATAAAGCTAAAATCTTCTCATTTCTTCATTAGGGAGAACATAAGAAACTAAACATATTCAATTGAGAAAATCTATAGAATTATATAATATTCGTAATATAAGATTTATGAAGTTAAAGGTTTTGGAGAGATAATATTTTATCAAATTGAGTTATATAATTATATATTAACTAATGTTTTAGGCAATAATGCTAAAAAACCCAACGTTGATAGAATTTATTTGTTATACAATTGTGTTTTATATTAGCTAAAAAAAAAACAGGTTAAAAAAGCTTCTCTCTCAACAATAATCTTGTTTTATATATAATATCAAATCATGTACATTATCCAATTTACCCCTCAATTATTAATGCCCATAATTACTCATGAAAGGGTATTTTTGTCATTTCAACTCCTTTTAATTTTTATTTTGGGGGATTACAGTTATCCTCAAGCATAAAGAATTATTGGTGCACAATTTTTTGGCTTCCTGCTAGTGATAATAAGATTTTGGAGCATTTGTTAGATTTAAGTTAAATTTTTTTAAATTTTGAATAGATAAAAACTTCAACACATTTTTTGATAGGCCCACGGTACTGCTTTGGTGTGTTTGTTTTTACAGTACAATTGTGATTTTTAAAGATTTTGTTTTACTTTAAATTATACTTTTTTATAAAAATATTTATATACACACGTGATGCCAAAAAATTAAATTAATGTAATGTATCACAATCAACAATCATCAATATAATATTCTATATCAAAATAAAAATGTCTAAAACTAAGACATATTAAAATAATTAATACCTAATTTTATAGAACATGTTTTGGAATTTATAGATTATTAAAAATAAAATTATGAGGGTAAAAACTGAATTAAATTGAATCATAATAAATAATATTTTACAAAAAAAAATGGATTGAATCTTACATAGTATTAAAATTAATGATAACTTATCTTTAAAATAGAAAAATTATCTTACATCAAAAAAAAAAAATAGAGCATGTTAAAACAATTAGTGCTTAACCTTGCAGAGCACGTTTTAACCTTATAGAGCACGTTTTAAGATATGTAAGCAATTAAAAATAAAATTGTAAAGCATGAAAGTAGGTTGGGTTGAACCAATATGTCCCCATCATTTCAATGTTCATGCTTTCAATCCATCCAAGGATCTTTGGACTGCTTTCCTGTTTGTTTTTTTTTTTATTAATGTGGGTGTTTGGATCAGTTTGCGCGTATCATGACTAACCTTATAAATTCTGAAGTTAATGACCATATAAGTTTTCGGTAGTCATTATATAAGTAACTAAGAACTCGAATCTAAAACCATATAGAAACAAATGAATTGCTTTCCGGTTGATTCTAATGTTAGGCATGTGGGCTATCTTAGTCCAGTCTTCTCCTTTCTCTTTCTCACGTCTCTTCTCCGAATTTAAACAGTTGTTAATTATCAACTTTCTGATGTTGCTATGTACCCCATCAGGCAAAGACATCAAATTAGGGCAATGCTCAATCTCCAAGCTTGAAAGGGACGTGAGATATCCAATATGATTTGGCAAACAAGTTAATCCCTCACACTTAAATATGGTTAGAGATCGGAGAGAAGCAAGATGTTGGATACTCTCTGGCAATGAATTCAACTCCGGACAACTAAAAAGGTAGAGATTCTCGAGCGCCGTCAGATGTCGTACTCCCTCGGACAGAGACATCAATTCATTACAAGTTGAAACAGACAACATACGAAGAGAAGAAAAGCCACACAGCAGCAGGGAATTTGATCTTATACAACCTTTTATCTCTAAAACCTCCAAAGAATTGAGGTTCTGAAAAACTTCCTCTGACAAGCTTTCAAGTCCAAAACAAAACAAAATCCTCAAGCTTTTAAGAGCAGAAAGGTTATGTAATACCTTATTCGAAAAAGACTGCAGATTTGTCAGCCAACCAATATGTAAGTGCTCGAGGAGTGTATGATTTTGCAAAAACCCATCGGGAAGCTCCCTCACATAATAAATCCTTTCAATACGAAGGGAGATGAGAGAAGTGAAGTTCCTAACTGACATCAGTAACGGAACACTGCCTCCCTTGATGTGTAATGTTTTGACGGACAGTATAACTGGCATTTCGGTCAACACAGGGCAATCAACTATCTTCAATTCTCGAAGGTGAGGAAAACTACACGCGGCCCATTGCTCTAGTCTCTTCATTGAAACAAACGTCAGTCTCTCCAAAGATGGGAATGGATTTTGCTCATCTCCATACACATGGCTGTCAATACACTTCACACCATCCAATCCATCTAGTTCAAGATTCTTGAGAAACTGCAGTTTCCCAAATGGTAGAAGTTGTTCACAGTTCTCACATGCTCTTAGCTGCATCTCCACTAGATTTGGTAGCATCAAGTTCAAATTCATCATCCAATTTGGAAATTTTGAACCTCCGTATCCATCTATGCTCAACTTCTTCAGATTTGAATGAGGTTGAAGCCCATCAAGCACCTCCTCCTCGTTATTTTCCTGTATAACACTCCTTTGCAGTGATTGGAAAAACGGTTTATGAGTGACAAGATAAGATCCATTCCCATGCCAAGATAATCCAAGTGATAGAAGAGCTGTCTGGCATCTGTTAAATTCTGAACATTAACAAGATCTGCAACGCTCAATTCACCAACAAGATTATTCAGCCTTTCTAGCTCCCCTATGTGAGGACCATCCTCCTTACCCACAACCAAAAGGCTAAGTTTTCGCAGGCAAGTCAACTCTCCCATGCCACAAGGCATAGATAGAAGTGAATCCCACCTCGTGGTGTCAAGATAGAGGAGACTTTTCATGTGCTTCATACCTATTGGTAATTTAATGAGTTGTCTGCAATCTCTCGGATTTAGTGTCTGAAGGTTTTGGAGGGAGGTGGTGTTAGATGTTTTAAATTACAAATTGACTATGGCAATGTATGGAAATTCGAAATATGTATCCGCAAGGCTCTTAGATACTTCTGTTGAGCAAAACACAGATGAAAATCATCACTCACAGGGTGTATGTGATAATGAGTTTCAAAAAGCAAAAGAGAGCGTGCAGACCGAGATTTGAAATACTTGTCTTTTATAGGAAATGGTGATGTATTGCAAGCACCCACATGACGAACTGTTTGATAAATTTGCAACTTTGTATTGTCCGCAATCAAACAACATTCTCGATTCGTAATGGACTGTGCAAGATCATGGACAAGATCATGCATTTTTCGTGTTATGTTGCCCAACCCATCATCCTTAACTTCTTGAAAAAAGGACCTCCCCACTAATTCGTGGAAAATCTCTTCACCCTTGTCATGCATATCCATTTTCCCATTGCAAGAAATGAAGCCATTTGCCATCCATAGAGCTACCAACAGCTCCTTCTGAATGACAAAAATTTTGGGGAATATAGAGCAAAATGCAAAGCATTGCTTCACAGGTGGCGTTAGATTCGTATAACTCAATCTCAAGGCAAGTAAAATCGGGCTTCCTTCATTCGGAAGATCCCAAATCACACTTTGTTTGACAGACAACCACTCATTTTCAGTTTTCTTCGAGCGCATCAGGCTTCCGACTACTCTTATAGCCAAGGGAACTCCGCCACTCTTCTTAACTATCTCTGCTCCAATGTTTTCCAATTGACCATACTCCTCTCTACTACTCATCCCAAATGCAAGCTGCTTAAATAAAAGCTAGGAATCCTCGCCTGACAACGTTTCCATGTGTTGAACAGGAGTTGGGACCGCGGTATTAGCAACAGTTCCCGAGCGAGTGGTTACAATAATTGCACTTCCTTTCGCTCCACAACTCAATGCATCTTTCAGTTTGTTCCAGTTATCATGATCAGCATCCCACACATCATCCAGTATGAGCAAAAACTTCTTACCACCTAAATTTTCTTGGAGGCATCGTTGAAGAGCATTCAACTGTTCAATGTTTGGAGAAGTGCGTTGAATGGACTTGATGATGGCTATTGTCAATCTTTTTATGTTGAAATCAACCGATACACACACCCAAATCCGCAAATCAAAATGCCCTTCTATTCTTCGATCGTTGTAGATTAATTGAGCAAGTGTTGTTATACCCAGTCCCCTCATTCCACATATAGCATAAATAGAGAAATCATCTGAACTGGTGAGCAGCATGTTGATCAGATCTTCTTTCTCCTTGCCCCTTCCATAAATTTCTGGTTCATTCATCCATGACCAAGTCTCACGCAGATCAAAACTACCTGTTCCTATCTCCACAGCCCCCTCGTTTAGATGGAAACTGTGTCTCTTCTTGGCAATGGCATCTAGTTTTTGTCTAATATTCTTCAATTTATGCACCATTCTTTGTCGAAAAACAAGTGGATTACGAGTGCAATGAAAGAAGGATTTTACTTGATTTTTTAGATCTCTTGGCTGCTGATGCCATTTAGCTTCAATTGCAAACTCATCTAGCAAAGCATCAGCATCATAAGCTGCATCCTTGAGGTCTTGAGCCACGCCTTTATAGGCTCACTCTTCCACTGCTTTTCCTCTGCATCTTGCAGCACAGCTTGTATAGTTCTTAACATGTTGTTAAGATGTTCAAGTTCAGTCTTTCAGCCCCCAGCAAGTCCAAGCTCTTGAAGAATCGGGGAATTCAAATTCCCCATGATTTTAAAAAAATGAAAAGGCGGGAACTGAACATCGGCGGGAAAGTTAGTTATATAATGTTGGTTATAGGTGGGTTGGGCCAACAAGTTCAAAGAGGTCCTCTAAGGAAGGAGGGACCAATCCTAGTTTCCAATTATTTTTTAATTGTGTTTGAATATATTTTAAAAACATATTTGATATAAAAAAAATATTATTATTAATATTTTTTTAATGATTTTGATGTCCTGGTATTAAAAATTAAAAATCATTTAAATATATTTTCAAATAAAAAATATGTGTCTTCATGTAATCATGAAGTTTTCAATTACATCTCACAATAAAATTAGAATCTTACCGCGAGGACATAAAAATCTAATAATTGAGATATTCATTTGGGAAGATTTATAGATCAAGTACCTGGTCTTGGGGCTAATTTAAGGTTTTCTTTAATTTATTTTTAGATGGGTGGAAATTATTATCTTAAATTATTCCATGTAGAATACTAGATGTATGAGTAATCTTTTTCTCCAAGCTGGATCCTTGTGGGCTGCCTGGATTCTACCTCATAGACTGAAGGGTAATAGTCTTTGGAGCCTGAAATGTGTTAGTGATTGTGTATGGTATCGGAAAAGGCTCCCAAAGTTGAGAGAGAGAGAGAGAGAGTCTGGGATCAAACCCACTATATTGTAGGAAAATGTTAGGATAATTCACTTTGCTGGTGTTCTTGTAAAGATTTACAGATCTAGACTGCTCTTCAAATCTGGCATTCCTTCCAATGCGAAATTAGAAACTGTAACAAGAAATGGAAAGTGGGTTAGTCCTGGACCTAGATCAGATGATATGGTGGCTGTTCAAGGTGCCATTTGCAGTACAATTCAGCTTGGGAGGACAGTGCAGCATGGCTTGATAGTTCTAATTGAATCTATTCAACTAAAAGTGCTTGGAAGTTATCGAGGAGCAAAGAAGTGAGAGTAGACTGGTATGAACTGATCTGGGCTCCTTCACAGATTCTCAGGCACAGTTTTGATTTCATAGCTTGCTGTATTAAAAGATTGTGCCTTTTAGTGGATGAAATTGAAAAAAAAATGAGTAAAAAAAATAATAAAAGATGGAATTAGAAAAGAAAGAAAGAAAAAAAGCAGCCTTGGCCAAAATGACGCCCATTTATACATTTATTAGTAAGTTTTCATTGATTAATTAAAGAAATGAAACTAAAGATTTGGCATGTTGTGTTCACTGCAAAATGGAGAGCAATTAGAAGGCATAACTTGAGGGTCCATGGCCTGTAAAAATCAAGAGAAGAGAGGCACAACCTAACCATTCACATTTCAGGCTATTATGGAAGTGCATTGATCTAGGAGAAATCTATACCTTTATAAATCAATAAGTAGTTTATTTTAGACCAAGACAAAATCTTGCTCTACATTACATCAAAGCAAAATCTTTTCAACCCATTTCCAGGCACTGGAAATCTGGGCATCCATGAAAGTGATTGAAACCAAGCATTACATTATTCAACAGAAAATGCAGAATCATAAGGCAGGCAAGCGAAGCAATAACATCGCTTGCTACCTCAATTACAGAGGGAAACAAATTGAAAGACATCCATCCTACTGACTCAAATCCTTCCGTGATTCCTTGAAAAGACGACTACGAACAACAGTATTTCGTATGAAAGATTGGTGAAGGTTTTCATGGCTTCCACAGGATGGTGGTTTCTGCAATCATGGAAGTCACGACATATGGATCCATGTTTGAAGCAGGCCTTCGGTCCTCAAAATACCCCTTTCCTTCTTTCTCCGTGTCGCGGCCAACACGAATGGAAGCCCCACGATTAGCAACACCCTGTCAATCGAACAAGATGTAAAGAAACTAATGTAAGACATCTTGTAATAAGAGAACTCAAGCGGCAAGGAAATTGTTTCCTTTCCCTCTTACCCATTTGAAAGTGTTAATGTCAGCTGTTTCGTGCCTTCCGGTGAGTCTCCGCTCATTCCCTTCTCCATAGGCTGCAATGTGTTCTCTATGCCTCAGACCAAGCTTTTCAATTGCTTTCTTGATGACTTCATAGCCTCCTTCATTTCTCATGGACTTAGTACTGCAAATGTGAAGAGTTTTCAAGTATGAGACAGGGAAAAAAATATTAAGAGTGCGGAATGAAGAAGCAAATAAATTAAGCTTCAATCAATGATGCAACTTATACCTGTAATTTGTGTGCGCCCCTGCTCCATTCCAATCTCCCTGGCAAAACAGAAGTCCAAATTCTTGAGAGCTTAAACGATAAAAGTACTGAAAACATGCACACTTGCAGCATCCAAATTTGAATAGTAAGAAGGGTACAATGAAATGAGAATTGACCTGAATTGGCTTAGGATCAAATGAAAGCACAACTCCTGCAACCTCAGTGATCCTCTGTTAACATAAATACAGACATTTGAGAAAAAAATAGATATTGGAATGGTTGTACCATCTTCTATAATCAAGTACATTAAAACTACCTCCAAAATGTACCGAGCTGCCCATAATTCATCTCCGGAAGAGATACCGACTGAAGGTCCAACTTGAAATTCCCACTACATGAAAATGAAAAAGGTTTAATGTTGGGAAACAAAACAAGATCAGAGTGGTTCTAAACTAGAACTGTAAGATCAAAATGGTAAGAAGATAAATGCTAGTTCTTTTAGTTTACCTGGCCTGGCATCACTTCTCCGTTGATACCACTAATGTTGATGCCTGCATACAGGCAGGCCTTGTAATGTGCATCAACAATGTCGCGGCCAAATGCTTTGTCAACACCAGCACCACAGTAGTAAGGTCCCTGAGGGCCAGGATAACCACCGATAGGCCAGCCAAGTGGCCATTTAACATCTTTCTGCAACAACGTGTATTCTTGCTCAAGGCCAAACCTGGGTTTTTTTTTTTTATCAGATTTCTCGTTAATCAAAATTGCAAAATCACTTGAAAATAGAGTGAAGCTCGGGAAAAACAAATACCAGGGAACCTCAGCAACAACATCAGGATGGCTGAATATCTTAGCAGCCTTGCATCTCTTGTTTGTTGGAATAGGCTCGCCAGCAGGAGTGTAAGTATCGCATATGACCTATCCAATCAACATCAACGTTAAAGAGAATGACTTGGCTACATCAAGTGGCAAGATACAGGGGGGGGGGGGGGGGGAATTGAACTCACAAGGATATTATTGCCCCTCCTGAATGGATCCTTGAAAATAGCTTGTGGACTGTTTCATTGCACAAAGGAGAGTGAGTTCAGAAATATTTGAAAATTAAAAAAGAAATAACATTGCAAAGAACATGGTAGTCCAACAATATTAGAACCACGCAAGAAAGAAAAGAAAACGGAAGCTTACTATAGAATCACTTCGCTGTCTTCTCCAGGAGCCTGGCCTGTGCTGGAACCATCATAGTTCCACTTGGGAAGCTTTGAAGGATCACTAACCGGACCGGAAAGAGTCTTTACATAAAATTTAAGAAGAAAAAAGACATTTTTTCACATTAGAATTACTAAATAGGAAGCTTAGACAAGAACAACGACGACGACAAAACCTTAAAAGCATAAAATTATATACCCTTCCTTTGCTCCTTATATCCATTCCAGACCCTCCAACCCTGTTCAGAATTAAACAAAAGCATATGTTACTTGCTTGCTTGGTTAAAAAACAAGGCAAATCAAACCACATCCATTATCAAAAAGCAACAAGAACAGATCTACGCCATGATTAACTACAATAAAAACTTGAGACGACCCCAGCCTCCAAGGAAAAATCAAGAACACAGGATCATTTCAGGAACTACATTAGTCCCTTTTGTTTTTAATCGACAAATCAAAGATAAATTTACTGACTAGAAACAAACAGAGTTCAATTAAATATCAAGCTTGGCTTTTCATTGTTAATGACCAGAAAAAACTGAAACTATTTAAAGCAACTTGCCTCGAACTATGAAAGTTCCTCCATAAGAAAATATTGGCTTAAGCTAACCGTAAGATTGAAGATCTTATTGTGTCGGCCATCCATCACGACATGAAAA